CCATCGAGACCCAAGCCCTGGGTTCCAAGACGCCTGGGTTCGAAGGAACCCAGTAGGCGTTGGGTTGCAAGGGGAAAGGAAAAGGAAAGAGAAGAAAAAGGAAAAAGAAAAAATTTTTTAAGTTTTTTATATATTTTTTTCCATGTCATTATTATTTTTTTTTTTGTGTTGTCTTTTTTTTCAAGTATGCATCTGATGTGTCAAGTTATTTGGACACGTCATCATTCTCCAGTTAATTAACGGGACATGTCACACGGAGGGACTAAATTGGGGTCAAAATGGTAAACAGTAGGGACCAAATCAGGGATTTTTTGAGTTGAGGGACTAAGTCGGGGGTCCGTACGATAGTTGAGGGACCAAAATGGGGGTTTAACCTAACTTTTATCAAACAGGAAAGTAGTTATACTCAGATACAGTGACTAATTGTTGAGTATCATAAATTTTTTAAAAATTATTTTTTTTTAAAAATAAAAAAATAATAATCTTGACCTTTAATATATTTATCATAAGTATTTATTGAGTGAGTTTCGGAGGTAAGATTTACTCTTAGATAATTGAGTTGTAACGAATGTCTTGAATATTAAAATGTGTTGATTTTTATATTTTTGTTTTTTAAAATATTAATTTGATTTTATTTAATAATTAAAAAGAATTAATAATTATAATAGTTAATTAATAAATAATAAAATAATTAATATTTATTATTTAATAAATTAAAATTAATTTATATATTAATAATATTTTTTAAATATTATAATTGATTATTTTATTTAAAAAAAAGGAAAATTATATAAGGCCAATAATTGATAGTGCGGCTCAACTCAACTCAACCACTTTCGCCAAAGACCCTCTGAAGTCTGAACAAAGTTTAAATTAGAGGATAGGGGATTGTAGATGAAGGATGGGTATTATTAAAGAAGACGGACGACATGGCATTGTGACAGCAGGTGAAGTGGATGCCAGCTTGGCTTTGAGGAGAAAGAAACTACTGCCTAGTGAGTGCCTATATATATTTGCATTTTTAGGGGGGGGAAGGGGGTGGGCCAAGAAAGGACAGCCTGTCCTTAGGAATTGAAAGGGGCAACAGCAGCAGGCAGGGAACAGAGGCAGCAGCAGCAGCAGTAGCAGCAGGAGGTCACATGCCACAATTTGTTTATTGGAACAACAAACAGCTCAGTACCCAGCAAACAACAATAATAAGACCATGAACAGTGAGGAAAATGGGAAAATTTTCTTTTTATATTATATATCATCCAAAAAAATATAAAATTTATATTATTAAACAAAAAAATATTTATATTTTTATATATTTAATTTTTAAATAGTTCTTTTAAAAAAATTATATAATTGTTATTTTATTTTATTAATGTTATATATATATTTAAATAGAAATTACTATTTATTTATCTTACTTTTTAAAAAATAAAAAATTATTTTAAAATTATATTTTATTAACAAAGTATCATGATAACAAATTAAAAAAATTTTAATTTATATTTTAAAAAAACAACATGTTAATTTTTTTGCTAAATATTTATTAAAATAATATAATTTTAAAATAATTTTTTTAATTCTTTAAAATAAAACAAATAAGAATTATTCTTATTTAAATAAAACATTTGAATTAAAATTTTTTTTTAAAAAGAGTCTCAACTGTTTGATGGAGGAAATGACAAGCATTATAGAGAAAAAGATCATTATACATATTCTGAAGGCGATGAGGCAATTGCATTGTATTGCCCTTCTTGTTGTCTCAATAATTTGGATTTTTCCATAAATTGAATAAATTTTGGTACTGATGGGCCATGATGCAATTTTTCTTCTTCTTGTTTTTTTTTTTTTCCCCTATGAATTACTATGATGCATTTTCAAAAAAGAAAAATAATAGGGCCGTAGTAAAATACAAAGAGGCATGATTGTCACTACGGAAATAATTCCAATATAATATAAGCTTCAGAAATTAAAATTATTAAATAAATCTTAGTGCATTGCATTTTATTTTGTTTAATTCTCATAATCATTGGATTAATTTTCTATTGGAGTAATGAAACAATATTTTATGTTATAAGTTGAATTATTAGTCTAGAGAATGGAATTTTA